GTGTTGGCTATTCCTGCCAGCTTGGTGTCGTCTGCAAATTTGATGAGTTCCCCATCTATCCCCTCATCCAAATCGTTGATGAAGATGTTGAAGAGCACTGGGCCCAGAACAGAGCCTTGGGGCACCCCACTACACACTTCCCTCCATGTAGATGTGGTTCCATTGAGGACCACTCGCTGAGTACGGCCGGTCAGCCAGGCGACTGGTGGTACTCGGATGTTGCCATATCCTAAAAGTGGTACAATGGTGAAAAGGTTGAAAAGCCCTGACATAGAGGATACACCAGCTTATTGAATTACTTTATTTCTACTGGTGATATTGAAATCTGCATTTTTAAGCTTCAAGGCTTTTCTTTAAAGAAATATATTGGTTTTGATTTGGTGCCAAATCTCGGAATCTTTTGGGATTGTTGAATAATAAAGTTAATGGCCTTTGTGGGTTCTTGCACCCAGAGCTTGCACATTAAATTGTATACATCTAACCAAATTGATTGCAGTGGATTTAAGCATACCATAATCCTCTTACATTCAACATAGTTCTGGCTGTTTCTTCAGTGATTTTAGGTAGGTCTCACATCTTAAAGTTGACAAGGTTGAAAAAACAATGAGGAAGCAACATCTGATCCAACGAAGTTGCAAATTAGTTGTAAAAGGGCTTGCATCATGTTTTGCCCAAGCAAAATTAAAACAGTATATTTGACTTTTGAGTAGAAGGACATGGTGACTGAATATGGGATTCAACTAATTCTAATCAATGAGGAATTTGGGGTGAGATGTGGCGCATAGAAAAAGATATCACAGAGAACGAGTCCCTTTGTTAAGTAAATTGACAAGTCAATTGCTTGCAATCTATATACCGTAGTTGATATTCCTCTGAAAGAAGAAGATGTGGAAGCTTTAGCTGTAAAAGAAAATCCCAGGTCCCATTCAGTTCGGCAATATTAAGTGCCATAGCAAGGACTTTGGGTTCTTGTGAGTATACTGGTTTATGCATAGATGCATGGCAGCTTTATTAATATTAAATAGAAAGTTGTTAATGAATTAAATATGAATTTCAGTAATGCACTGTGTATAATAGCCCTCATGTACTATAATTCCATAGCAGAGGAATTATGATACTCAGTTATAGTTGGCATGTTTGTAAAAAAGTGAGGGCTGTGGAAAAAATGGTTAATACATTACTAATAAAATTGTCATGCTTACTGTCATCCTAGCTTCCCACAGGCCTATTCACATATTGTATTTATGGGAAATTCTCTCCAACAGCTCCATTTAAGTTCTAGGTAGTGTTCTATTAAACTGTCTGAGACAATAAACCAAATATTGCCATAATACAGTATGGTGACTCTAAACTTTTGTCACCAGCAGGGGTTGCTTGCTCTAAAAAAATTAATGCAGTAATCCAACAACTGAACATGAAGCAGCATCCTGTTCAAAGCTATAGCTCAACTTTTCCCAATCTGGTATCCAGGTTGGATATATTCCATCACAAAGATTGGGCAATGGCCAAGAAACTCAAAATGCTGGGAAATGTGCTTCTCATAAAGTGATTGAAGGCAGGTTGGACAAGGATGGTATCATTATCACAACCCATTCTTCCACTTCTATCTTCCATTGTATTTGTTTTATATATAAACAAGTGATTATATTGTGAGGGAAGTTATAGATATATTTGATATCATGTTATATATAAACATGGTAAATATTTAGATATTTATCATATATAAATAGTGATCATATTTGTATGATAAATAAGTCTGGGGGAACAGCTGGGTTATGGGGCTGATTTGTAAAAATAAAATAAATAAAAATCGTATCCTTGTCCAGTGGTATCTGCCAGGGAAGCCAAAATTGGGAAGATAATAGATGATAGATAGATAGATAGATAGATAGATAGATAGATAGATAGATAGATGTTGTAAGCCCTCTCCCTTTAGAATGATGGCTTGTCCAACAACTTGTTGATTTTGACACACATACACACCTATGGACACCACTGCCCCATCCATCTGTATGATAGAAGCCACATATTGCAAGAAAAATGTTAGTTCTGCATAACATGGAGAAGTTCAATTTTTGGTAAAGGCAACTTTCTCAGAACCCTCATTCCTCTTGCCTTACGCATAATAAATTGGCCCAGGAAAGTAAAATGTTCTTAGACTTTAAAAAAATAATCTCAGAGTTCATTCTGCAGGTTTATGAGCAATTTTTAAAAATCAGTGAAGACAAATGGACTTCATCTATTGTCCCCCCCCCCTCTCTCTCATTTTCATTATTAGCTTCAGAAATCACATTTAAAAGTACAGACAATTATGAATGGTATGATCCTGCGATGTGGCATGCTGCAATCTCTTTGGAAAACTTAGATCTGGGCAAATACATTTTCCTTCTTGATGAAGACCGGGTTCCATGCCAGTATGATGATGTCATTTTTCAGCCCGAAACCTCCTTCCGAGTGAACATCAACTCTGAGCAAGCGATACAGCTTAAGAGCATTTCAGTCATGGGGCAGGTAAAATAGATGCTGCTATTTCATTGCCTTACACTGTGTCTCCTTTTTTTTCCAGGAAAGCTCACAACTAGTAATATCAACTTTTTCCAAATTTATATTGAATGCCATGGAAAATAAACTGAATTACTTTCAAATATTTAGCCCCACTTTATTAACTCAGTCAATTCAACACATACACATTCCCTTAGAGCACAGGTGTCAAACTCACCGTGTCACGTGATGTGCCGCGACATAGCGTGACCTTTTTCACATTGCCGGAGCTGGGGTGGGCGCAGCCTCCACGGGCCGTCAGTTTGATACCTCTGCCTTAGAGCAAGAGCATTCATTCCAGATGAGAAAAACACAATGTGTGTGTATGTGTGCAATAAAAAAGGAGGGATGTCATATCTAAAGAATCAGATCAGATCGTTGCACAGCACACAGTCCTGCAAGGCATTCAGAATTTGTATTTCAAAATATAAATATAAAGATATTGGCCCAGTAAGCAGACGTAGGAAGAAAGATCACCGCATCTATTATACAATTGCTAAAATGTTTACAGGATCTAGACTCATTTAAAGAGCAGTAGTAAAAGATGCATCGATGCAGGGCAGATCTGCACTTTATACTTGGCCCATTGCCAGGACATGCCACTCACTATTTCCGAAATGTAAGAATGGAGGATGATGTTGCAAATACACTGCACACATGTGTTTTCCAGTTTTGATTCAAAAGATACTGTTTCCAACCAGACCACTTAAGCCCTTCAATGGTGTGGTCTCCAGCACTTTGTTTCATACTAATTGAAGACCCACATCTGATTGGCTGCAGTGCCTGATACACCTCCTTGCTTCCAACAGCTGGTTACTGCCTAGTGCAGCCAGTAATATGTTGGCTGTAATAAAGATGGGATTAAAACAAAATCTAATAAATAAATAAATAACATGCTGGGTGTTCTCTGCTGGGTTGCAGGTGCTACCCTTTCTATAAATTTGCATTTGATCCAACAACAGCCTTTTAAATTAATGGACATTCCTCAGCTTTAGAAACTCATCTCCATTCAGCCTTTACATCTGCCAATCAGGACACTTTCCACTTCTGCCCAGTCAGATTGAGGCATGCTCCCCTTGGTCTCCCAGTTCCAGACCACTGCACAACTTCCCTGCCTTTCTCTTTATTTTTAAAACATCTTTATGTTGAAACACAGGTTCATTGCTACTTTGCTTCAGTGAACCCCCAGTTCTTGCTTGCTTGAGTTCCCGTGGACGTAAACAGGAAGGTAGAATTGAAAGGACAGCCCGTTCCCTATTGCTTGTGTCATAACATCAGAGCTGTGATAATATTACCAAAAGGAGAAAACAAAAGGAAAGGGGTCTGTGTTAGGGTCAAAAGTGATAATCTATGAAGGGAAGTGATAGTGAAGGCTTCCATGTGTGCAAATACCTGCGAAAGGAAGAAAAAGCACAGGAATGAGTGAGGAGGGAACAATCCTCAAGAGAAAAAGGACGAGACCTACCTACACAGTGGACATTCAATGAACCTTGCCTTCCCTACAGGAATGGGAGGAGCCAAAGGCAGGGGAATGACCAATCAGGTCTTGCTGTGACATAGTATGAACTGAGCACACAAGCCCAGTCCCATTGCAGAGTTTCTGCAATCTGGACTGAAATAGCTGAAGTTGGCTTGCAAAACAGAGATGGGCAGCATAGGAAACATATTAAAAAATAATTTAAGAGTTTATAAACTCTTAGATTTAAGTTTTTGTTACACTGCCAAAAGAAGCTGAAGTAGCAAGAAGAAAGGGAGGGGGGAAACGTCTGATAGAAAATGTGGAAAGGTACTTCCAGTCTGAAGCATTAATATAATCTTCCCAGCTTTATACCTTCCATCGTTCTATGGTTGTGTTGGATGGCTATTATGGGTATTGATTTCCTATACATCCAGAGGGCACCAAGCTGCTTTAATAGTAGTCAATTGTCTGTCTAGAGTAACATATCCCTGTGTATTTCCTAGGTTAGTGTGTGTGTGTGTGTGTGTGTGTGTGTGTGTGAGAGAGAGAGAGAGAGAGAGAGAGAGAGAGAGAGAGAGAGAGAGAGAGAGAGAGAGAGAGAGAGAGAGAGAGAGAGAGAGAGAGAGAGAGAGAGAGAAATATTTCTGGAATCCACTCCAAACATGGATGGTGAGATCCGTGAAACCTAGCAATCTGAATTCCTACAATACTGACACCAAAAGTACACAATTTTTTAGTATAATTCAAACAATTTAGGAAAACAAAGGCAAACCCATCTGCTCATTCAAAAAACAAACACAGGAAAAAAATGGAAAAATCACAGCTCTCATACGTATGTATGACAGGTGTCCACCTTCTTTGCGATTGGTTGTCCTACTCACTGCATTCACTCCCTCTCCCCAAAACATTCGTCCTCGGTTGCAATGCAGTTAATATCTTGAGGGGAGGAGGTTTAATTAAACTACTTTGATGGTGATTTGCTATAGAAGGAAATGATTTGCTGATTTTGTGTTGTCCTTCCTTCCCTGAATTGGAATCAGAACTTCACCAGTGACAGTGCCCTGACAGAATACATGCAGAGCTCTTCTGCAAAACTTCAATTCCATGGGCAAGGGACACTCCGGTTATCACATACTAGATGTCCATACAAATCTGGCTGCGAATGTGGAAACTCAGCAGTAAGTCCTTGTGTTCAGACTTGGTATCAGGATGGGGAATTTTGTTTTCTGCCCAGGTCACATCCCCTAGGCTCAGGAATTCTGGGAGTTGAAGTCCACGAGTCATGAAAGAGCCAAGGTTGCCTACCCCTGCCCTAGGAGATATATCAGTGCATGTCACTGCAGGTCAGTGAGGGCTAAAGTGTTTTTCTTTCTTTCCCTTCCAAAGAAATGGTGTATTTCTGTTCCTATGAATCAGAAGGAATTTCTGACAGAGGGCCATGGGCAGCATTAGAGCCACAGATTAAAATGAAGCCATGGGCAACATTAGAGCCACAGATAGGCTCTCTCTGTTCTAGTTTCTGCTATTAAGAGACTACTACCAATGAAAGGATTGAAGGAAATGGAATGACCTATTTAAAACCCTATATGGCTGAACTAATTCAGTGGATTGACTGAGTCATAAGCATCCATTCAGGCAGAAAGAACTGTTGATCCTGTAAACTAAGAAAGGAAACTGGGCAATGGCATTCATGTCTACAGAAGTGTAGTAGCCTAAACCCTGAACACTTGATCAAGTATTCCTCTTTAAGCCTTCCTGAAGAGACAACAGCATGCCAACAATGTGTGTATGTGTGTATATTTTAGAACAGGGCTTTTCAACCTTTTCACAGATTGTAACACTTTTAGGACATGACAATATTCGAGTACCATCAGTGCTTAGCAAGATGACTAGAAAAAAAAAAGGGGGGGGATTTTGGGTTTTGCTGATTAGATTGATTTGTTGTTATAGAAATGGCTAGTTTATACTATTATGATAAAGTAAAAAGTTGAGGTTCGATGTTAATGCTTCATTCTACTGCAATAGAGGAAGTTGGAAGTCAATACCTTTTCTTTTCTTTTTCCCTTCTCCCCCTCACTTTTCTTTCCCTTTTTCCTCCCCACTGTGTCCCACTATGTGCTTTTGTATTTTTGTATTTTATTCTACAATCTAATAAAATGTTACAAACCGTTAAAAAAAATGAAAAAAGGACCGGTTTTACTCCTCCTTTTATATCCTCTTCTCTCTCTCCCCTCCTCCTCCTTTTATATCCTCTCCTTCTCCCCCTCCTCCTTTTATATCCTCTCTTCTCTCCCCCCTCCTCCTCCTTTCCTCTTCCAGGTGTGCTGGAAGCGCTGATCTGCTGGAGCTGTGTGCACTGATCCTGGGCTCTCAGCAGAGCACCGGCCACACCGCAACTCCAGCTGAATCTCCGCCTGAAGATTATGTGCGGAAGCACCAATCAGCTATAGCCATGGGTGCAGATCCTGAGCTCTTAGCAGAGCCCCGGTAACACCACAGCTCCAGCTAACTATCCCCCAAGCCTCTCTGGCGCTGCTGCCTCTTCAGAACATCCACTTTTACACTTTTTTTAACAGTGCTTTTCAACCCGTTGTACGCATACTACCTGCCAGGTGCTGAAGTGCCATCAGTGCTACGCATACCGTGGTCTGAAAAGCCCTGTTTTAGAACATACTAGATCATGCATTGCAGTACTTCTGTTCAAAGTATTGATCTCTGTTACGGATTATGCCTATGATTTAAATGGTTTCCTATAGTTTCTGGTGTGAGGTTCCATCTCTGAAAGGGACAAAAGAGGAAGGGAAGTTAACTTGATTCAAAACCCAGTTTTCATTCTTTACAAATGGATTAACTGTGACAATGTGGTAATAATTTTTCTTATGAAACCTCTTGATAGGCTATGTTGGAATTACCAGAAGTCAATTATGTAGTTTCTTTTCAATGATATTTTTTTAATTAAAGAGCCATGAGAGAATCTGTGCTGCCTTGCTCCAAAATTCCAGGAATGAATGTCCAAAGGTTACGTGCAAAGACGCAATAAAGCCTACTGGTCATTGTTGTGAAATATGTGGTGAGTGATTATTGTTGCAACTGTACTGTGTTATATTTTGTCATTGTGTGACAGAAGAGCAAATTCCTCTAATCCCTTGTATGTAAGACATGGGCTGATGATGATCACCCTATTCCCTCACTCTGCTCACTCACATCATTGGAAACTCCATGGTAGAGCTTTGCATGGAAATGAAAAAGTTTCCATATGTGTATAAGGTTTCTGAGAATAGGAATCTAACCCGGACAATGATCAATGAAGTAAGCTTTATAACTCTATCAGAAAAGAAATGTATTTAAGGAAAGACATGATGGGGATTGAGATAGGCAAAGCCAACCATGTCCTTAAAAAGGAGAGCTAAGACCAAGTGCTCTGTGTATGCAGGCCTGGGAGCATAAGCAGAAGGAAATGATCTGAGACTAGCAATGTCAAAGAGGAGACAGAATGATACATAAAAAAAATGACACAGAGTAAAACTTTAACTAAGTAGACCCCACTGTTCCTTGTGGTGAGTAGATTGTGAAATGCTGAAAAGTCAGTGCCACTGAAATCACCTTCTAATATCCTATCATCTGTCTGTCTGTCTGTCTGTCTGTCTGTCTGTCTGTCTGTCTCTCTCTCTCTCTCTCTCTCTCTCTACCTACCTACCTACCTACCTACCTACCTACCTACCTACCTACCTACCTATCTATCTATCTATCTATCTATCTATCTATCTATCTATCTATCTATCTATCTATCTGCTACTAAAACTCTTAATTCCCATAACTCTAATTCCCATAACTAACTGGGCAAAATGGTGCTTCATAGGGCAACACCTTTTGAAGCAAAGTATCTCTATTGGGCTAACTTACAGAATGTGTTCAAAATTCAGGATCCCTGGCTCTTGTGGAATTGAAAATTGAAAAATTTTACAAAACATTTTATGACATAAAATTATCATAAAACATTTTATGACATAAAATTATCATAAAAGGAAATCTCTGAAAGGAACACCCAATGGGTCACAATTTGTCCAGTCAGTTATTAAAGATTTTGGGGTAGCCATGGATTTGATTGTCCACCCATTTAAGTAAGAGCCAAACCGCTAAAGAACATTGTCACGAGCCCTCACACATAGTTCAGAAGGATAATATGGTTAATGGTATCAGAAACTGCTGAAAGGCTACGTTCCCCATCCAATTCTGGCAAAAGGTCATTCACCAGAATAACCAATTCTGTTTCTATCTGATGACTAGTATTCCATCTAAAAAAGATTTAATCATCTTCTAGAATCCTTAACTAAAATCCTCTCAATAACTTTCCTTTAAAAGAGCAGATTGGAGACAAGATGGAAGCTGATTGAGAGGTGGTCTCTTCAGGTGATCTTTTTTGAATAGGCAGTGGTTCACTTTCCCTCAGAGAGATATTCCCCACCTCCCAATTGAGCCAGGCACATTAAAAATGCTAAGTGGAGCATAGATCCAACTCCAGACAACTATCATCATATTATAATCCACTTTATCCATTTCCTTTGGTTTTATACATTCAAAAGATTCTCCAATAATGTTGTTAGATGTTATCCTAACTCACCTCACATGGCTCTGCCCAAACAATATGAAGACATAGGCAAATGTGTGCAATTGCCTACAAAAAAATTAAGAATCGTTCAGACAGACCGCAGGAGCTTTGCTTTTTAGTCAATTCCTAATTCAACTCTACTTAATCAGAACCCATCAGTTCTGAATCCAGAATATGGTTCAGAAGACAGGATCCCCTTATAAATCACAAAAGAGTTCAGCTTATCAGACAGAGATGCTGAAAAAGATCAAATTAAGATACCCAAGTAAGCCATCTTGATGTTTCAGAAAAACAGTAGGCTATGAATGCAAATGAGAAACAGCAATACCTAAGGACAATATCAAACCAATATTTAAGTGCAATTTAAAGTGAATATCTGTCAAACAGGTTGATGTCTGAGTTTACTTAACTTTTGTATTTCATTCACATGTGTGATTTGCCAGATACCAAATATGGAATTTTCCTGTGCCATTTTTTAAAAACTATTACAAAAATTGAATGCTTTATGGAATCACCATGTGCTCTTTAGACAAAATTTTAAAGCATTTAAAACCACATTTTCTGGAAATCCTTTGCTCATCTCTTTTGCATGCTGAGAAACGCTCCTCAATAAACTAGTGAAAATCCAAAGTATAAATGAAACTCATAGGTATGCAATTTTAATGCCTCATGAATAAAGACGGGGCAGCTGTATTTTGGATCTCCATGGTACTCTGCCCAACTGTAGGCCAGGTTTTTACTGTATGGGCTCATTTTCACTAGATCTACTTTATTTGATTGTATTATTTTAAACAAAGGTTTTGCTTTTACAGAATTTTGAATTTTGAATAAATAATCAATCATTTAATTTTATTTTGGTCATATGCCTAAAACTAATAACATAACAATTACAATAAAATAGAACTAAACATAAAAAGTCATATTGATAGAATAAAATAAGATAAAGTTAAAATTATTGATGTAAAATTACAGAGAACAGCTATTTGAAAGCAAAAGCATCTTATAAAATTACAATGAATTTTACAATGAATAATCTAAATGCTAAATGGCTAGGATAGATAACTAAAAAAATAATAAAAGTAATACTATAATTTATAAAATGCCACAAATATAAATAAAGCCATGCTAACTTATACTAAGTTGCTGAATCCCTGATAGAGGTTGTTTGGATTAAGACCATTTATGATCCAATTAATTATAAAAAAAAGAAATTGCAAAATAAAAGATAAAATGGTATGTATATATTTAAATGGAAAAGAGAAAAAAGGGGGGGAGAAGGAAAGGGGGAAGAAAGGAAAAAAAATATATTGAATTTCAGAAGTTTAGTTAAGGCTCAGCAGCACTTCATTAGAAGACAATCTACCACATGAGAAGAAATGTAATGATGAAGATTAGTTAGTATTAGTGATGATCTTAAAGTGGTTGATTGTGACCTGAGGATGTGAGAAAAAAAGAGACACCATAAAAAGAACAAATGTTCCATGGTATTAATAGAACTTCATACAACAGCATATATAATGAGCCTAAAATCCTGTAAACTAAAATGATTCTATGAGTGCCCTCATTATTGTCATCATATACAAAACTGAGTGAAATGGACTGATCCATTTAATATTGGCAGACAAATTCTTGGAAAACAGCCTAAAACATTTTTGCTGCAGAGCAAAAGATTCAGAACACCCAACACAATCAAATTAATTTGTCACATTTATCTGGCATCTTACAAGGGATCCTTGAGAGAAAATTATCATAGTAACAAGTACAAATTAAAATGTGTATTTTTATGGCACTGAAAATCTTCTACCTGAGGTAGATTTTAATTCACTCAGGGAAGATCTGGATGAAAAGATGAGTCATAGGTCTGAACAATTTAAGAGACATTTCCACAATAGTGGAGAACATTCCAAAGAGAAGGTTTTACTACAAGTTTGAACTTGCAGAACTAATTGGCATCAGAAAAACCAAGAATGATTCAATTCACACTTCCATGGAGGAATAGATGTGGGGACAGATGAATGACTGTGTGTAGACCAGGCACGTCCAACCCACAGCCCATAGGTCATATGCGGCCCTGGAAGCTGGTAATGCAGCAGCATAAGATTTTATTTAAAAAATAAAGAAATAAAGGAAGTTTATTATTTATATACATTAACTATATTATACATTTTATACATGATCCAAGATAATTCCTCTTCACTCAATGCCACCCAGTCATGTGTGGTGTAGACATACATAGTTGGAATTGGATGATACCCAAATGATTCTATTTATAAAATCATAGGGCTGGAAGGGACCTTGGAGGTCTTCTATTCCAATCCTCTGTCCAAGACAGGAGTCTTTATACCATCCCAAACAAATTAACAAAGTGATGTTTATCCCAAACATCACTACTGTCCAATCTTTTTTTAAGAAAAAGCTTCCAGTGATGACATCTGGCATCTTACAACTCTCACAACTTCGGGAAGCAAGCCATTCCACTTGCTTTCACTGTTCCAGGTTTCTACCCATTGTTTCTTGTCCCCTCAAGTGCTTTGGAGAAAAAGTCAATCCCTTCATCTGTGTTAATGTCCCTCAAACTATCCTGTCATCCTTAATCCTTCTCTTCGTTAGATTAGACATACCTAGTTCCCTTAACCATTCATTGTCCAGCTTAGTTTCCAGACATCTTATCATCTTTGTTGCTCTTATCTGCATTTATTCTAAGGTCTCAGCATCATTTCTGATCATGGCAACCAGAACCAGATATAGTATTACAAGTATGGCTTCACAATACAGTATAGAGTGGTACAATCACAGAGTGACCATCATCCAATTATAAAATGTTTTATATTGTCTTATTCTGTATTTTAATTATAGGGGTAATCATTACCTTAACATACTCTGATGATTTTGACATTGAAGTCTACCGAGACAGAATATTCCACACTTTTCTGAATCTGGTAAGTGTATTCTAAGCTTGTACATGATGGAAGTGAGCATGAAGACAATCAACTAGTCTGAATAATTACCATTATTGAACAGTAATTTGAGACAGAACAGCCCGTGATCATAAAAGCCAAGATGGTGACCATGATGGTGCAGTTGACTTCACTTAAAAAATAGGCAGAGTTTTAGTTACACCATTGTGGCTGCTATCTTGACAGTTTTTTACTATACCATGTGGACACCCCTGGAAAAGGAAGTTTTAGGGGGACAGATAAATGAAAGAGACAACATCCCTTCTAGGACTCAGGTGGATGGACTTACAGTAGCTCTTTGCTCACTGTATCTTTTAATGGAAGCTGCCCATGACTGAACCTGTGCTGAATCTGTGCAAGCAGGTATGTGCTCTGCCATTGAATTATGGCCCTTTCATAATTATCTGTTCCATAATTATCTGTACCGTATGCTGAAAGAGAAGAGACAAAAGATTGTGGTTTCTTCTCTGGTCACTTTTTTCTTTAAGAGAAAAACCAAGAAAAATGCAGTCTTTTATCATTTTTGTTTTGCCCAAAAGTGAAATGTATATAGATCATTAAACTGTTGCCCTAGAGCGAAATCATCTTGTCACTGTGCTGCTGGCACAGCAGTTATATTGTTATCATTCTGAATAGCTTATTTAGATAAGTTCTAGATATAACTCTTAATATAACATTCATTGGAGCCAAGAAGGATGTGACCTAGAGAGGATAACTGTGGTATCCATGCCAAAATATCTGCTAAAATACTAAATGAGATTGTGAAATTTAGATTTTCATCTGAATCTGGACTATTTATCGAATTGCAGTTAAAATGTCACTGCTTAACCACCATTGCTGACCAGGTTTTTCCATGGGTTAAATGGCTCTTTGTGTTAGGCAGAATCAGACAAAAGAGTTAATCTGTTAATTAATCTATCAATTGATTAACTCTTCCTTCTAAACTCCTACAGAGAGATGGGAAACTAGTGTAGACCAACAATGGACTAGCTCTAGCCACATCTCTCTTATGCATGTCTATTTTATTCTCTGGATGTCCAGAGGGGATGGGAGGAAGTTAAGAAATAAAGAGACTAGGGAGGTGACTGTAATTTTGATTTGGCCACTCCAGTTTTAGTTTAATTTTATTTTTTAATGAAATAGCTTTCCAAAACAATCAGGCAGTATCCAGTGGCCAATCAGTGTAAAGGTAGTTGGGATGCCAGTGAAAATAATATTAAATCAATAAATTAGAGCTGGACCATTGGATAAACACATTCCAGGGCTTACTGTTAGGAAAAGACTTGAATGAATTTTTATCTAGTCAAAAAAAGATAGTTAATTGGTCATTGTCATGACTAGCCTAAAATTAAAAATTTCTTATTATTTCTAGAAGTGTTGCTTAGCATGTCTGACTGGCTTAAGTAGACATATTTCTCTCTCTTTTTCTTTTGCAAAGCCCAGAAATAAAGGTATTCAGATGGCCATGTCCAAGATGAAAAAAGTGCAGACTCCCTTGAGAATTGTGCCACGTGGCTTAGACTCAATCATCCAGATTGTGCTAATTGACAATAAAACAGGACCCTATGCTGGCACTCATGCTGAACAGCTGGCTAATGACATCCTGAAGGATATAGCAGACCATGGTAACTCTTTCTATTGTACTGCTGTGGTGTGTCCTTATTCTAGAGGTCCAGCTCCAGGGAGAAAGCAGTCTACCTTGCCTGTACACGAGTCTTCCTTGAGTAAAGGGCATGGAAGAATTACTTTTCATGCCAAATGTCCTTGCAATGAAAATTAAAGGATCGTGTTACCAGACACAGGAAAATTATCTGTCCAAAACCATAAAGAGCCATTGATTGTTAGAATAGGCATTAATGTCTAGATAACCAAAGTGTCTCATCCAATAGCTTCCTCAGTGTCTGCTTTGTGACAAGCATACGAGTCGAGTATATATAGATAAATAGATAAAGAGAGAGAGAGAGAGAAATTCTCTGGCTCTGGATATGTAAAGCTAAATGTGCTAGAAGCCATTAATAAAACATTAAGACATTGGAAGATTCACTAAGTATTATTTCCATTTGCCCTGTCAGGCTTTCATTAATATACTGCTAGGAATAATTTAGCTGCTTTGGTAACAAGCTTTAAACAAGCGATTCCCTGTGTGCGTGTGAAGATGCTTTTATCTTGTTGTAGCATTTTGTGGTTTAATTACAGTCCTCTCTGGAATGCTGTATTTTTAAAAAAACAAAATATCATGCATCATTTTGATATGTACAATGATCAGAATAGTGACATATAATACTTACAATTATCACTATAACCAATAATGACAACAGCAATAACAGTGTGCATGTATCTTCTAAATCAGCAGTCCCCAACCTTTCAGCTCCGTGGCCTGGCAGCTGGGATGGCAGGAGGGGATGGTTTTGCACTTGTTCATGCCACTTGTGCAAATGGAGCTTCCTGCTCTCACCCACCCCTTGCCTGCCCCGATTGCCAACACGCCACAGACCGGTAGCAGCCCATGGACTGGGGGTTAGGGACTCCTGCCCTAAAGGACTATGCCTTATTCCAGATCAGACTTTTTTTTTAACCATTCAGTCCAATATTGCTTACTCTGAATGAAAGGAGGTTTTCAAAGTCCTAGATCAAGATCTGTTCTATTATTTGTTATCTCATTCATTCAGCAGTAGATACCAGAATCTGAATTTGAGTCCCTTCTCTTGCCAAATATATGCTCTACCACTGTGGTCCCTTCCTGAATCCCTCCTAAGATTTTCAAAAAGGTCTTATTATGTATAATATTATTTCTACTGTTTTAATTTATAAGCTGTTATATTGTAGTATATTCATTGGCTTTTATAATTTTGTATTTTATACACTACATAGACGTATATACTTTCCAAAACTATTGGCCACAACTGACATTACTTCTGAATAAACACAGGATTGTGTTGTGCATGGGTTAACAGTCCCACAGTGTTTCTTTTTTTTCCAAATCTGGGGAACGTGCATAGCAGCAGTAAAAAATGGAAACAGAGAAAGATGAAGGGGTCGGTTGCTGCTTTCATTTGTTCTCTTTGGGGATAATTGTTACTTGCTGGCGAACACAATGCTTTCTGCAATGAGGAAATCAGCTAGAGAAGCATGATGGAAGAAGAGCTATGTCCTACCTAACAGAATTTTGATTACTTCCTGCAATTACACTGACATGTAACATTTGCTCATTTTCCAGGAAAATTCTTTGGCATTGTGACAGCCAACCTACAAGTAGCCACTGGCAGCAACTGGAGTGCTCAAGGAACCAGCAGCCATCTTGGCACTATGATTACTGGGATTGTCATAGGAATCCTTCTTGTCCTGCTCTTTCTGGGAATTACTCATTTTCTTTATAAAAATGATGCATTAAGGTAATAGATACATGGCATGCTGTAGTATATTTTCTTGGGTAATTATGGTGTGGATAAATATGTATAATTTTTCCCCCTAAGTTTAAAAACCCTGAATACAGAACATGATTGTTAGAGAGAAAACCAGACCTAAGTACTGCCCATTAACGTTTGTTTGTTTGTTTGTTTGTTTGTTTAGTATGCCACCCATCTCACTATCAAGTGACTCTGGATGACTTACAATATCATAAAAGCAACATACAAAATTAAAATAGCAACATTACAATATCAAGTCTTAAAATTGGAAGTTAACTTAATAATAAGTTAAATAAGAATCAGTGTATAAGGTGGGATTTTATCTTATTAAACTACTAGCCACCTCAAGAATGGGATACCCCAAGCCAGTTGGCACAGCCAAGGTTTTAGGCCCTTATCAAAGGCCAAGAGGATGGGGGTGGATCTCATTTCTTGGGGAATGATGTTCCAAAGGGCAGGAGCCATAACAGAAAAAGCTCTTTTCTTGGGCTTCATCACCTGCAATTCCTTGGCTGATGGAATCTGCAGCATGCTGCTTCTGCCATCACAAGTTGGGCAGGCTAATCCCATTGGAGTAGACAGTGAGAGCCTTGACCCATGCCATGAAGGGCTTTAAAGGTGATAACCCATGCCTTAAATTGGATCCAGAAGCAAACCAGCAGCCAGTGCAGCTAGCACAACAGAGTTACCTGGGACATCTAAAACTGTTTGTGCTGATGTATTTTGTGCCAGCTGAAGCTTCCGAATATTCTTCAAGGTTAGCCTCATGTATAGTACATTGTAGTAGTCCAAGCACAAGATGACCAGGGCATGAGTGACTGAATGCAGAACCTCACAATCCAGGAAAGGGTGCAACTGGTGCACAATGTGAAATTGTACAAAGACTCTCCTAGTCACAACTGCCATCCTCAGGTTGTATATGGGATCAGCCTGGGGAAGTGCAAGAACTAAAGATGTTAAATTGCCTGGTCCCAAGGTTCCACATACCCATAGTCACTCAATCTTGTCAGGGTTCACGTGGAGCCTGTTGGTTACCCCGTCCATACCCCCACACACACAGCCTCCAGGTACTGGGCAATAGCAGTAACAGCCACACTGCATCTGGGATGGGGATATTGTATAAAGTTGAGTATCATTGATGTACTGATGGTGTCCGAAGATCTCACTTTGCAATTTCATGTAGATGTTAGAGTGGAGTGAGATGATAATGAGGATGGACCAATTTTCAGTCTTCTCTAACTAGGTGACTTTCAGACAAGCTGGGGCCTTAGCTTTTTACAGTTCCCAATCAAAAGATATCCTGGCTAGAGAAAAACAATACCAAAACATCTGGAGGTAAAAGGTTCAGGAGAACTAAATAACGTGATCTACTGGAATGAAGGAAAACCTCAAGAAGCCCTTTGACATGAGTTTAAATTGCATACTTACAATATTAATACAGAAGGCATATAGAAGAAGATATGCTATAAGCATCGCATAATGCTGCTGTATAAAATGACATTTTTATTCACTTGGTTGGCTTTTGTTTAATTTTAAAACAAAATTATAATTTATAAATTCAGTACATTAATTTTTTTATAAACAAAACCCTTCCCTCCCCAAAATAGAGCTCCCAACAGCTGTTAGTAACAAGAAAAGTGAGATCAAAAGGAAAAAAAACATTCATTCTCAGCTGGCTCAGCAGTCAAAGCAGCTCATATGCCAAAGGGCCTGTCTGAATAAAAATATCTTTGCTTGCTGGTAGAAAGAGAACTGAGACGGATGGAATTCCAGACCCACCAGTCAACATTTTGACCGATTCATCCTTCTTAGAAAGAGGAAAGCTTCAGGATTGAACTATATTTTCCCAGTTAAGCCTAGGATCATATATCTCAAAGGCACTGGATACGACATTTATTCTTTGGGAGCACTTTTGTTCAGTCTAAGTCAGTGTTTCTCAATCTTGGCATTTTTAAATCTGTGGACATCAACTCCCAGAATTCCCCAATTGGAATGGCAGTTGAGGAATTCTGGGCATCAGTCCACATATCTTAAAGCTGTCAAGGATGAGAAATACTGGACTCAACCAGTGGAGGAAAAATAACACCTTCTCAATGTTAATCAGGAGCGATGCTCTGTGTATAAATACTGTAAGCTCTGACACTCTGCCATCCTTTGGGAACACGATTCCTCTTCCCAGACAAACTTCTAGCTCTGTAGCTCATTCCAGAACAAAATAGAAGCCTACAAGAAAAAACCCACAGTGTAACTACACACAGACTAAGAGCTAGCACCTCTAACTTCCTGGTATAATGTGAGAAGTAATAACATCTGCACTGAAATTCCATGGCTTGGCACACCATTATTTTCATGGGGGGGGGGCACATTTGGAGAGCCAAGGGAGCATTGGCCTGGTTGCCTAGGCAACAGAGATGTTGCTTCTCCTCATCCCCATCCCCCAATTGGCAGGCACACTGAGAAAACAACAATAGCCTCCATGAAAAGTGGAAATTGGAGGGGGGGGAAACGATTCATGGTGCTTTTTTTTCAACCCCCCCCCCGAGACTGTCAAGATCAAATTGCTTGAAAATATGATTCAGTATAATAACAGATACATTAAAAAGAAGCCAATGTGTTTAACACTTTGTTTTATTTAATAATATGAACATTTGTCTCCTGCCTTTCTAATGCATATGCAGCATTCAAAGTGGCCAATAGCATTTACGTCAGTACAAAATTAAAATACCTTAGACCAAACGATTTGAGCCATAGTCTAAAAGCAAAGGCCAATATAACACTGAAAAAGAATATCTAACAAGAGCAGGGAGGGAAAACAGATAACATCTTCAAATCAAACCGCTCCTGGGGAAAAATGCCTTCCTGAAGAGGAAAGCTTTGAGCAAATAATCTGGATGCCCATAAGCAATCTTACGACTCTGGAGATGAGTCTCCTTGGAATTTTTTCCACAGCTCAGAACAAAAAAAATTAAATTCTGCAAGATATGCACGGGCATGATTTGTAGCTCCCTCTGCTACCAGAAGGACATGTCAGAAAGTCATTTGCTTTTTTCCTTCATATATTAATAGGAAATGTCCCAGCAAGACATGGGGAATAGATATATGTATAGGAATTTCAAGAGAGCAGCTCTTCCGAGAGCCAAATTTCAGAATCCCATTTGAAATGGAACCATTACAAACAGATGGTTTTGATTACATCTGTTTCATGTAGTGCCTGTTATAAATATGAGGGCTGTGCTAATCCATCACAAGTGGATTTGAAATATGTGGGAGAAAGCTCCTTTCTTGAATGCAGAGACAGCCAGGAGCATCTTCCTGAACAGCCGTACAAGCTTATAATGAGAGTTTAAAGATGGGATCAAATTTGTTATGCACCTTGCAGGGTGACCCAGGTCATCTTAAAAAGAATAACAGCGATTTTATGCAGCTATAGGGAGTAAAAGGAGTTCAGCTTCTTATATCACCATCAAACATGATTTTCTGAGGACTTCTGGCCATGCCCTCCGCCCCCCAGGTGAAGAAGTTAACAATCAAAGAGTCAACCTTCTTAATTATACTGTCACATTGGTGGACTATTTTGTGTGGCACTTGTTAATTTTCATTTGCCCAGGTGTTTAATGACTGACATATTTGATGATGATGGTGATGATGATGATGGTGGTGGTGATGATGATGATGATGATGATGATGATGAGGAGGAGGAGGAGGAAATAATTTAGTCACAGACCAAAGTAAACAAAAAAGCAACATTAAAATACCTGGGATAAAAAAGGCTTATTCACACTAGGAGCTGCACTAGTGTCTTCTCACTATATTGTCTTCTCACTTTCTTGCTTTATGATCTTGGTTATTTAATAAGAAACACCCAATTGACTGTTGAGATAAGGGCTGGTAATTTGTGGTTAGAAGAATGATTAACTCTGTCATCCAAGAATGATAGATAGGACTCATCTATAACCACATGTAATCTGGATAGGAGATATTATTGAATCTTCTGGTCAATAGCATTGAGGGCAAAGCATCTATATATTCCCTTCTGGGTGAGGGTGCAAGGATATAATAGAAGTGTTTGGGGTTGGTAAAAGCTAGATACTGTGCATGAGTTCCTTCTGAGGTATTAAATTGCTTTGTGAATCAAGGTTAAAAATATGTTCTGCTTAACCTTGTTCCAAGCTTTGTCACTTGTTCTGTGTGTTTACTTGTGTGATTTATTGCAAAAAGTATGTGTATCAACCAACCAACCAATCAATCAATCTGCAATGTTTCCATTGACTGCTTTATAGACAGCCATGATAGTATTGGGACAGCCCAATTCTATTGCCTTGGGTAGAGAACAATATAGAAATTCCAATTCTAGAAGTTATCTAGAAGTTGATACTGATAGGTCTGCATATTCCACAGCATTGGAGATGGCAGGCTAGATAAATTTGTTTGTTAGTTTAGCCAATGTATATACGGCCACTCAACGGAAATTGAGTGGCTAACATAGAATTAAAAACACAAAACAAAATAATCAAACAGCATAAACATCATAGAAACATGCCCCCATTCAACAAAACCAAGGCCATGTCACAGCATATTCATATTCCAAAATCATTTTCCAGATGGGCTCCTCCAATAGCCTAGCAAAGTAACTGGAGGCAAAAAAAGGATTTCGAAAGCCAACTTTATCTGTTCCAAAAGACATGTTGTGTGTGACAAAAAAGCATACCTACAGGGTCCCACTAGGTGACATTGTTTTATGACAGCTACTCAAAACATGCCATTTCCCAGGGGATGCAGCAGCCAGAATCAAAGATAGGCCATCTTGCAAACAGTTATGGTAATAAAGTAGACAATATAATGGATAGAGCCTAACTCTCCTGTTCTGCACTCTGAGATTATTGTGCCACTATGCCTAATGTTAGGGTTGGCCCCTGCTATATGAGTATGCCACTTTATACTATCAAATCAGTTATGTCTCTCAGATGTCAATTTCACTGTGTCTTGGAAACCTGTTACTAGTCTGAGAAATCACTCAGTATCTTTACATAGTTTAATATATGTTCTTATTAATCCAGCCTAAATACAGCAGCTCTGTATTAGAATTTAGATCACAGTAACATTAATTCTTGTGCAGCATAAATGTCCTGTAAATACCAATGTGTACTTTGAAAGTTTATTTTAATTTTCTTGTATATTATTATAAAGTTAGCTCACACATCTGCTGTAAAGACTGCTGGTGTTAGGATGGCTTCTCTTTTTGGCCAGTTTTCACTGATGGTACACAGATTTTAAGTTCTGATAGTTTATTAAATTCAGTGGACTTCAGTGACTCTTATTAAGAAATCAAATGCAAATGTCTTTGTTTATGCTCTGTCATTTCTATTTTCACAGATCTCTTTCCTCTCTGCATCTTTTCTCTTTGTGGAACCGAAGAAGGGATCAAGAAGATTTTGGTACAACAACTGAGGAAGGGTTTGATAATCCCATGTTTGACACACCATGTAACCCAAGTGTAAGGGCTCAGTTTTCTGTATATTTATATATGTACGAACAATGCACATCCACCAATGTGATAGGGACTTCCAGAGCTCAAAAACAAACAACCCCCCCCCCCCACACACACACGCACATTATCCTGCTGCATTTGCACTGGCAAAGCTAAATGTGGGTGATCAACATTTTACCAACTTTATTTTACTCTGACAGTTTCCCTCTGGCACTGAAATCATTGGGAGAAAAAACATATGCAGTATACAAGTGCAAACGCTGGAATACATTCCCAATCGATCCATGCCAGTCCACCCAATATACCTTGATAAGCATCCTATTTCAAAGTAACAAAGCCTCAGAGGCCCTTATCTGTAGGAATGGAATAAGGGCATCTAATATGAAATGTCTTCTTGGAATAGGGTGCCAAAATTACTGTATCTAGTTGTTCCTGGGCCCAACTCCCTCCCAGAATTGCAATTTTAAAATATTTTTAAACTATCATTTAAGGCAAAAAGCTTCTGAAGTTAGTATTTATCATTGCTATTTAATTAATAAAAAAGGATAGAAAAAAGAGCAGAATGATAGTGATACAATACATTATAAAAACACATTAAAAGGTACTACAGTATAACAAAAAGTGGAAAATACAACAAAAAGAATACGTCATTATAATGATAAAGAGTTACAATTCTATATATACTTATCTAATGCAAATATTCGTCAAGACATGTACATTTCTGATACATTTATAAAGCTATTTTTAACCTACTGTATATTCTGTATAAATGAATCCCATATTTCATTATACCTGTCCATACAAAATCCACATTTATAGGCAATCCGCTCATAGATGACAAGTGCAATCAGGTCTTCAATCCATTAAGTGAAAGGAGCCATATATTTATCTTTCTAATGCTCCAATACTATGATCTTTTGGCATAGTAAGGGCACAGAGAATCTATTTATGTGTTTGTTCCATATAGTAGATATATAGTTCAAGAGGATTATCCTCTGAGAAATTTAGCTTTTCTTTGACAATCATATGTATAGAGTCCACTACTTTCCCCAAAACTTGGTAAGTTGTAAAAAATGTTTTAAAAAAATATTATCCTCATTTCATCTCCAAAAAATGCTCTTTTGACAGTCCTTTTCTATACAAATGGAACAGCGTCCAATGAGTTATAAATATTTTTGTTATATAAATCATAAATTGAGATCAATTGACACTCTTGCTATGGAAGTTAAGATATTTTTTCATTGTCTAGATATTAGGAATATCTGATTTTTAACTCTACTCATATCTTAACATCTGCATATCAAACTGATTTATTGATAACAAATCTATACAAATTAATAGTGGGTTTTAACAAATTGTTCTACTATCTCAATATCTCCAAAGCTGAAAAGGTGTGGTCCAAACAATATTATTAACAAATGTTGTAACTGTAAATATTGTCATTGGGCGATATCTAATAGATGATATTTATGTTTTACATGGAATAAGATAGTAACAGAGTTGGGATGATCCTTGGAGATCTTCTAGTCAAGCAGGAGATCCTGTATCATTCCAGACAAGTGGCTGTCCAATCTCTTCTTAAAAACCTCCAGTGATGGAGCAGTATGCTAAAAATTCATCTTCATCATGAGTTAGTCCTAAGTCAATATCCACGCTTCCGTGCAATATTTTTATATTACCATGTTTTCCCCAATTTTCAAAGCTGGATTTCCCCATAAAATCAATTTGGCATGGGAAAAGGGCAAAACCTCTTTTTAAAATTAAACATTAAATCCCATAGCTTTCTAACTGACATAATTGTTTCCAGAGATATAGAGTTTTAATATATTTAATCCCTAATGCTATCCATCCATCAAAGATGTGAAATTAAAAATAGAAAAAATTCTGTACATTGTTTTACATCATAAATCTGATACCAAGCCTGCTGATATTGATCTAAAGCCTACTGATGTTATTCAGATACTAAATAACAATAATAAGAGTTAACATTTTAGTTTATGAGATATAGATTGGCACTATTATTTAAGAGTAAATTAAAGTTTCTAATCTTGGTTTCAACCTGATGAAGAAGAAATATTGTAGCTCTCCCATGAAGAGGCATGCCATAAAATAGGAGTGTTTGAATATATACTTTTGCAAGTGATCACTTCCCTTTCATTAATCCCTTAGAATAGGATCAAATGACTCCACTTTCATTAAGCCAATGATACTACCAATATTGTAGACATAGACTGAAAATTGAAATAGTAATAATCTAAAGGGAAAGAAACCATCATAGTAGAGTTCTTGATTGTAAGGGATCACAATCAAGATTTAAAGGGATTGCATTTTTTTATTTTAAGAAAATTGATTTTAATAATAGAAGAGAATATTTATAGCTCAGGGTTGAACTGAGCTTCTCCGAGATTGGTTGTTTTCTTGCAGACATTTCATTACTAAACTAGGTAACATCATCAGTGCTAGAAGGGAGTGGGGTTTGCTCTCATTTTATATACTAGAGAGCAAGCCCCACTTCCTACTAGCATTGATGTTACAGGTGTGGCCCCTCTTCCTGTGTCCCAAGACAATACATTAAGGTTGGCCAAGGATGCTAAGATCAACAAAAAGGACTTCTTCAGATGTGTTCAAAATAAAAGCCAGATCAAAATGCTATGAAGTTGCAAAACATGAATGAATAATAAAGAAAAAATAGAACTATTCACCTTCTGACAAAATGATGTGAGTTCCAACAAGCAATTCTGAAGAGCAGGATGAAATGGCAAGATGGAAACTTAAGTTTGATAGAAACATACTCAATGAATATGTTATTTTGAAATAGTTTAAATCTTCAGTGTCAGATAAACTGCATACTAGGGTACTGAAAAACCATGCAGGTGATCTATCAAACCTTTATGTTTTATGAGCTGTGGTGGCACAATGGTTAGAATGCAGTACTGCAGGCTACTTCTGCTGACTCCCGGCTGCCGGCAGTTTCAGTCTCACTGACTCAAGGTTGACTCAGCCTTCCATCCTTCCAAATTCGGTAAAATGAGGACCCAGATTTTTGAGGGCAATATGCTTACTCTGTAAACTGTTTAGAGAGGGCTGTAAAGCACTGTGAAGTGGTATATAAGTCTAAGTATAATTGCTATTTGAGAGAAATCCTGGAGAAATGATGAATGCTGTCTCAATCTTCAGAAAAAGTAAAAATAAGGATACATTACTCAAGAGCAGTCTGCCAGTTCCACAGCATAAAAAGATTGAGCTGTAAACAACTTGAAACAAGGTATTAAATATTAGATGTCAGGGTATGTATTTCTCCAGAACAAGGCTTCCAAAGCTAATCTTATCTCATGCATTGATCAGGTAACTTCCTTGATAGATTGTGAAATGCTGTGAGCATAATATATCTTGATTTCAACAAAGCATTTGACAAAGGACAACCATGGCATTCCAATTAGCAAGTTAGTTAAGTGTGGGATGGATGGCATAACAATTATATAAACACATACTTGGATCAAAACTGCTCAAAGAATATTTATCAACATTAAATTAGAAGGGAGATCTTAAATGGACTGCCACAGCATTTGACCCTGAGCTCTGTATGTTATAAATTAATGGCTTCTATGTGGAGGGAATGCTTTACAGATTTGCAGTTGACACAAGATTGGGCAGGGTAGTTAATACCTTAGAAAATGGAAATGTAATTTAAATATGAGTCAATAGTGTGATATCAGAACTTTGAAGCCAGGTCACAAGTAACATTTTAGGATCCTTCTTAAGTTCAAATGGTCACCAAGTGGCTTACTGAAAATCAAGGACTACCTTTACTTTGTCAACTATAAATACTGGACTGATAGTATGAATTTATCATACCTTACAAGAGCTCTTTTCTGTTCAAAGTCCAAATTAGTTTTCAGGAATTGCATTAACGTGCATTTTCTCTTTTTTTCTTCTAGGTTTTAGCCAACAGACATTCTGTGGAGGGAACCCAAGAGGAGATGGGGGACAGAGATAGCAGGCTTTATTACATTAACCCTTTATATGATGAAACAGAACTTAGTGTTTAAGTCTTACCAGTTCATGCATTGCTAGCAGTTTCATATGAAAAGACTCAGTCACTGATTATCCTTAGATACAGATTTCAGATTTGTGCAGTTATGTGCATTATATCAAGATCAGTGTGATGTAGCCTGAATTAAATTGTGAGTAATTTTGTAAGTAAAGGCAACTAATGAATAGAGCTCATCATAAGGAAATTTATTTCTAATCATTTATAGTTGTATTCCCTCACTTGGTGTCCTCCATATCCCATGAAATTGCAACCATTTCCAAGCAACATTTTTCAATGACTTGAAAAATTGGAGAAATGCTGATTGGCAGAAATATTCATGAGATTTCTACAAGAAATCCCTGGTACAATTAAACAGAGTTATAGCATATTGTATATTCATTCCCCATTCTTCCATGGAAATATTGCAATCCAGTCAAACTTTATGATCTTTGCCTCATTTAAGAAATCCTCTGCAAGTGAAGCAATGAGACCTTTACTGGGTTTAAGGTGTTAATGCTGTTAGAGTCTGCTGGCCACAAGAAAAAGAAATGGAGAGTGTTTGCTGTTTAAAGAAGCACATCAAGTTCTGAGCACAACAGTATAGAAATATCTTCATAAACCAAATGGAATATGTCCACTATAGGGCAGCACAGGAGGTAATGGGGCTTGAAGACACACCCTATGTCAGAAGTAGGCAACTTGGAATCTTCTAGATTTTTTGGACTTTCATTTCCTCCTTGGAGGAAGATGCCTGAAGATGGACAGACAAAAAAACAAATTAATCCAGAGCTGGCCTCAAAGCACAAATAACCAAACCCAAATGTTATCTCAGAACCATTGCACCATATCTTTCAAAAAATCCTGGAGCACTGGAGGTACCTGAGGATTGGAAAAGGGCTGATGTGGTTCCCATCTTCAAGAAAGAAAAAAAAACAGACCCAGGAAACTACAAACCACAGAAAAGGAAAGTTTTACATTTAGGCAGCAAAAATCAAATGTGTAAGTACAGATTAGGTGAGACCTGGCTCAAAAACAGTAACAGTGAGTGGGACCTTGGAGTCCTAGTGGATGATCACTTGGCTATGAGCCAGAAGTGTGCAGCAGCAGCCAAAAAAGCTAATACAATCCTGGTCTGTACAAACAGAGGCATAGAATCAAGATCACGTGAAGTATTAGTATCGCTTTATAAAACCCTAGTAAGACCACACCTCGAATACTGCAACCAGTTTTGGTTACCATATCACCATACTACAAAAACGATGATGAGACTTTGAAAAAAGTTCAGAGAAGAGCAACTAAAATGACCAAAGGCCTGGAGACTAAAACATATAAAGAATGGCTGCAGGACTTGGGTTTGGCTAGTCTAAAGAAAAGAAGAAATAGGGGTGACATGATAGTAATATTCTAGTATTTGAGGGACTGCCACAAAGAGAGGGTCAAATTATTGTCCAAAGCACCAGAGAGCAGGACAAGAAACAATGGTTGGAAACTGATCAAAGGGAGAAGCAACCTGGAATTAAGGAAAAACTTCCTAACAGTAAGGACAATTAACCAGTGGAACAGCTTGCCCTCAGAAATTGTGGGCACTCCTGGAGGTTTTTAAGATGAGACTAGACAGTAAATTGTCTGAAATGATACAGGTTCTCCTGCTTGAGCAGTAGGCTAGACTAGAAGAACTCCAAGGTCCCTTCCAGTTCCTATTCTATTCTGTTCTATTCTGTTCTATATTATCCTACTTGGACACCTTATCCAAAGACCTAGCTCTCTAGAGAAGGCTCTAATGCTGGGAAAGGTGGAAGGAAAGAGAAGAAGAGGATGACTGACAGCAAAGTGAATAGACTCAGTTACAATACTGATGGGTGCATCATTGGAAGAGCTGAAGGACCAGAGCATAATGAAGAAAAAAACTTGCTGGCATGTAATCATTTTCACCAACTCCAGCCAACCTAAGCACTGACAAAGGACTAGAAATTGTAGTTGAAAACATTTGGATATCAGGTTGTCTAGTCCTGAACTTATGAAGAAAAATTGATAGAGCTGTGTTTGCTTAGCCTGGAGAAAAGTGTCCCTTTCCCTCATTCCTATTTCTGATAGTAAAGCTTTGGAAAGAGAAAGGAAGTATATTTAATCTGAGCAGGAAACATATAAGAGGAAAAAAATCAATTTTCCATCTGAACATCTCCAGTGAGCCATTATCTTGGAGACAGATTGTAATGCTTTTAAATGCTATAGAGTAGCTGTCATATATTGGCAGCACTTGTAATGTATGTCAAAAGAGTTCCAAAATTTCTGAAAAATGAAGAGGGATTCTAGTCCTGCTAAGTATCAACTTGCCATGACTTCTGGTATTTCATTGATGCCCCATCAATGAAATGTAAATATGTATATTCTTTACCTGTGCTACATTGATATAAAAGGCAGGAGTTGGTCTTTTTTAAATGAAATATAATGAAATACTAATGTTAAGAAAAGACAACCAATCCTTGTTATGAAACACATACACACACAAACACACCACACAGAATTTTAGAGAACACTGGAAGCCAGTAAAAAATGAATCCAAATCCACATTTTGTTTCTATTTGTTGTCCTTAATTCTATTGTAAGACGCAGACGTTTCTGTGAAGTGTGTTTAGATAGGTAGATTTATTGAATTTGGTAGCCACAACCTTTTCTATAAGGTTGACTATTGTTTCTGAGTGTTTTGCTTTGTTTACTTCACTGTTTATTGACTGAAATTAGATAAATAAAACTGTTGGGTTTGCACACTACATTAAGTTATGATACTGTTTGCTCGGGCCTAGTTTATTGTGTGAACCCATCCAACGTGATTTGTAAATCATTATTCCTACCTTGTGAATTTGGAATCTCACTAATGAAATGCTATTAAATAATTTCAGTTCAATGTTTTCTTACAGTCCAATTTAACTTTAAAAACAATATGAAGGAATTAATTCACAAGGCAGTAGGAATGCAAATGGAGATCCTGTTTATTTGCTAATTGCTGAAAAATATTAAATGGAGAAATAAGTAACATAAAGAAAGGGCAGTGTCAGGGTTCCGGGTGAAAAGTCCAACGAAGTAAGCACACCAGAGACATTGTGATTTCTAATGGAAAACTTTATTAGGCATAGCATACTGATACGATAGAAAGAATACCAAGTCTGGCAATATGGTGGGAAAAAGTTAATTAAAAGAGTAAAACCTTCCTTCCCCTCTCTGACAGTTCAGATCATATTGTCCAATTAATCTTAAAGCTTCTGTTATGAGAAAAAAACCTCTGTTCTCCAAAATATTTCTTCAATGACTTCGGCTCTCACCTGTACATTCCAAACCTTCTTGCTCCTCCCTCTGGACTGTTGGCAAGCTAGAAGCATCATGGCAGTTCTAAAGCAAGGGATCTTCATAGCTTGACAGGCAGGTTAAAAGATATCGTAATGTTTGGTCTTTGACAACATCATGCTATGATATGTTCTGCTATTATAAGTAGCCATGGTGGCACAGTGGTTAGAATGCAGTATTGCAGGCTAATTCTGCCAATTGCCAGCAATTCGATCCTGACTGACTCAAGGTTGAGGTCAACCTTCCATTCTTCTGAGGTCAGTAAATGAGGACCCAGATTGTCGGGGACAATATGTTGACTCTGTAAACCGCTTAGAGAGGGCTGTATAGCACTATGAAGCAGTATATAAGTCTAAGTGCTATTGCTATTAGAAGAAAAATCCATTTTCCACACTCTCAAAATTGAGTCACATTTTGATTGGGAGGCCTTAGAAATCAATCAATCAATCAATGTCATTAGTTGCATTTTGGCATTTGTGTTTCAGAATTAATCATCTTATTGTTCCCAGGCAAAGAGCAGATTTGGAAAAGTAAAGAGATGGTCAGACCCTACTCTGATTAGACAATTAATATCATCTTTTCCAGGTCTTATTTAATACACATGTTATTAGTAGGCTGGCCAGCCAGCATTTCCCAGTTGAATGCCCTGCAAATGTGTTGGAGAATAACTGTGATCTATATTCATAGATGCTTGTTAGCATGAAAATGAGGGGTGCATGTGTCACTCTACCTCGCAAGTTAATTTAAATTCTTTTCTTATGTTTATCCTCTCATTATGCTAGCATAGGCTGTTCTAATCTCATGCTTTCCTTATAAATTGGAATAGAGTTCTCATAATACAATTGTCAGGCTGGTGGAGGAGAAGGAGGAAGACTGTAATGCATCAATCTGAAGAATACAAGTTGGGGAAGGTTATGTTAACATATTTATTTTTCTGGAAACTTACTTAAAGAAATCTAAAATAGCAACAAGTCAACAAAGGTGGATAAAATAAAAATTGTGAAATTTGCATCCATGCACGCCAATTACATTGTTTCCTCGTGGGATAGGCAATTATATGCAAAGTGGAAAAAAGGATAACAAACAATAATAAAAACAACAAACAATATGCTAAAGTAATTAAAAGCATGAGATGAGGTATATGTGTATGTTAAATATGCTGTACACTATTCATTTTAGATCCTCATCTTCTATCCTCACAAATCTTGCTTCTATCAAATCTATATACCATTTCATTCATTACTTTTTGTTCTTTAATCTGACATGTTCAGATATCTAAATAATATGTTGAAAGAAAGGAAATAGTTACTTAACATTCTGCCAGTTACTTAACATTCTGCCATCTAAATAATCTCAATAAGGGCAGCTAGGAAAGCAGCAAATGACACTGAAATATATTTGTGCCGAGTCTACTTTTCAATGCATACAAATCATGGCCTGATTGTATTTGAAGCCCTATGATGGAAAGTCAAGCACAACAAAAGAACATATGTGCATTATGAAACTCTCAGGGAGAAAGTGGGTTGATTTTCAAGAATTTCATCTTTCAAGGTGCCTTTGAACAATATAGAATCATAATAGAAAATATATTTAATAAAGTGGATGATTCCAAACTTCCCTTAAATTTTAATTCTTTGTAATTGATGAAACTGCTATTTAATTTTATCTGTGGGCTGTGTATCTCAACAGAAGTATGAAGATATAAAAATATCTACATATGCAGATTGATCACTGACA